CGGGGGGGGGCGGGGGACCCTCCCGCACAGTCGTGCCGGCCTTAATTAGCGCGTTGATTAACTTAATTAACTCGTTGTGCGGCGCCTCACGCTGCCCCAGGGCTGCATCCCCACACCACCGTCCTGCTTTGGCGCGGTTGATAGCGAGCGTCACAAGCAGGCTGACAAATCCACCTCGTTGTAGCCCAAATTCCAAGCAAAAACAAACAAACAGTGTGTATTACTTTACTTCTACACGTATTACATTTACACGGAATTAAATTCAAATTGAATACATGTTAYATAGAGGAAACATTTCACAGAGGAGCAAACAGGCAAATGCTGTTTTAGTGTCTGCTATATTCTCCTTACTTGGAATAACATTCATTTCAAGATACTATTTATCACAATAGCGTGTAAAGCTCAGAAAAAGTCTAAACATTTGAGCATTCTGAATATAAACTCTGTAGGTGTCRGGCCTTGCAGCCACCAAAGCAGAGAGACAGTCAGTCAAGCCGGGATGTCCCGCCGGACACAAAACAGCCTTTGCTTGTGTCACATTTGTATTGACTTTATTTACCCCCTGCTTCCTTCCGTTAATAAACAGATAGATTTGTTAATATACATTTGATAATGTAATGTTAATGTACAGCACTATGTCAGTGTATTTGTCAAGTGTTTTTCCTCCCCAAATTCTCATTGCCTTTTCTTTTTCTGTGAAAATAAAACAAATAGAAATACTAAAAACAAAAAAAAATTTTTTTTACATTGTGCCTTCAATAAGCCAGTAGTAGTAGAGCCGACTAGCTTTGCCTAGCATAGATTATTTTCTGAAATAAAATAGAATTGAAAGTAAAATCAAGTGCAAGTCAGCACTGCAGCAGTAATAGATGYATCTTTGCCATCAAACAGCTAAGTCACCCTCTTTTGCTGTATTTTTACAAAGTCATTTAAATATATATTACTATCATTGCATAACCCACTAACATATCTTACTATAGCTMGGATATGCAACTATTAGGAAAATTCTGTTAAGTACAAAAAATACAAGAAATGCTATTATATACGCTTGCAAAGCGCAGTCCCAAGGGCCCAATCTACTCTTCCTCGGATAAAGAGAAGGTTTTCATTTCCAGATTCATAGAATCTGAATTAAATGTTGGATCAGAACGCTTGCAAGGAGAAGGAAAGAAAATACAGAAGCATAAATGGAGGAAGGGATGGGAGCCAGCACAGAAGAGGCCAGGAAAAGCAGTCAGAAAGGAGCCAGGGATTCCTTCCAGCCCCGCCAGCCCGCACAGCCGCCCTCGGGAAGGAAGGAAGGGGCGACAGGACAGCAAAGGGGCAGGGAGCCGAGCACAGGGCAGTGGGCGACGCTGCGGGCAGCAGGTTAACCCCACCGCCCCGCTCCTTATCCAGCCTAGCAAAGTTTCCACAAGTGATGCAAGTTTTTCCTTCAGCGTGGTGTGGCCCTAAGGTAGTAAACTAGTACATGCTGTAAAACTAACACAGCCACTCTCAACATTTAGTGAGGCTCAAAAACTACTGAGCCTTTTACAGCTGTCACATGTTTTATCACCAAAATTAACCGCTAGGTTGTGTTATGTTGATTAGCAGGGACTGCGTCAGAATTTCTCAGATGGTTTTGTTTACTTTAAAAGCTTTTTCATTACGTTTAGGGTAGAGCCCCTATACCCTGTCCCAAAATGGTTCCAGTGGTTTATATAATTAAAGAGCTGATACAGTTTGTTTCGCTTCTCAAATCCTGGAGCTTTGGGTATTTTACTGTGATACGCAGAGAAGAAAGAGCTGCTAAAGCCCCCGAACATGCCAGCAATGGCCAGTTCAAACTCTGAATGGCCGTAAAAGGAAGCGGGGTCAAAGACAACCGGCCCGGAGTCGTCCTCGGCCACGTTCCCTGCCCACAGGTCCCCATGCAGGAGAGCAGGAACAACTTCTACGTCACAGAACATCTCGGGGATCTTTGGCTGAAAGAACATGWACAGAGACGTGACAGTTCAGGAATTGTGAAAAAGCAAAAAAAGATCAAATAAGAAGAATACTGTAGAGTATGAGAGAGAAAACTGATCATATACTGCCTGCTTCCAGTCCTCACGGAGCGCTTTGGAAGCGGTGTCAAGCGTAAACCTGAACTGCAAGTCAATACTGAATATTCTTACTTATTCTTGACATGCTGGTATTGATATATTATTTCATACATGGACACTAGAAATAGTTTAAAATAAATGTCATTTAAAATAAATAGTTTAAGTGGCAAAAAAGATTACAACACACTTCCATTCTCCCTGACATGCTATCATGAAAACACTCATTTTTTATGCAATTTGATTCTTCGATACAACTTTCTATTTTATCATTATTAAGTARATTGTAAAAAATACATTTCAGTGCTGAAGGTTTATTTTTAATATTTAAAAGACTAAAAGCGCAACGTGAATTCTTTTCAACTGACTAACAGTAGACTATGAAGTTATTCCTGTTCACTGAAATATGTCTAAATGTGCTATAAAGCATTTTAAATTCCACTGGTCCATATTCTGTGTTCACAAATAACACATTTAAGACATGGTTCATACTTTCAGCTGTGACCAAAGTTCTCTTGCTTCTCTGTCTCCATAATCTCTTTCAATCAAATCCAACTGAGCCTGGAGTCGGTGACGTACAAAGAAAGAAGGCCAATCACTCTGCCATTCATTCACCTTAAAAATATGATATAGAACAGATCTCTACATTAACTTATACATAGTGTTAATAATACATAAACAGCAAGTTAAAATGCTCACTGCTGGCACAACACTGAACTTACTAATAAACAAATATCTTACTAGATACTTGGTTGATTGTTCATCTGGGAGCGGTGATTTCTTCCATGCTTAGGTGGGGCTGTCTTTAACATGAGCTATAAGTTAAGATTCTGACTGTTTATTCAGTTTTCTTAATAATATATTCTACAGGGAAATTCTCATAAGCCTATTTCAGGTTTTCCGTAATGTATTCCAACTGACCAAGAGGACAGTTTATTTTTATTAGGTAACGTATTCCCAATTCRATAAAAAAGTACCAGTGAGTATCCCTCACATTCATTTCACCATCAGATCAAAATGAACCACTGAGAGCTAAGCTGGGATCATAAAGCTGAATGCAATAAAATGAGCTGTTGTACACAGAGCTGGCACGGACACTAACAGACCTGGAACGTACCTGTGCTATGTAGCCACAGCAAGTAGCTGTATGGAAGCCAAATTTATCCACATACTGAGACTCACAGTGACCTGCACCTTTACCTAAGAAATAAACATAACAAGTTTAAAGAACATTACCCAGAAAAGTCTGCAAATACAGAATTAAGCTTCAGACAATAGGCATAACACTTCTAAGTATGAACACATACAAGTTATACCTATTTCTTGGTCGCAGTCCTTCCTAAAAATAAAAATATATATCTTAACCTCAAAAATATTGAATAGACACAAAGGCAATTAGGCACAATGAGTGCCTTTTATTTGAATAACTGAGTTACATATGGAGAAAAAGAGTCTTTATCTCTGATTCAAAGTGGGGTTCTAAGCCACCATTCTAATATTAGCGTATGTGGTCATTAAGGATAGCTCATTTTTGATTCCTATATTGTTTGTGATTTTCCATTAATCTGGCTTGCTCCCCAAAATAATGGAATATAACATGTATATCACTGCAAGACAAACTTTGTCCATTCCTGAAGTCACTCTAAAACAAACAGAATTCCTTGCATGGCTTTCCATTTTGCTCTTTTTTTGTCTCAATCCCCTTTCCAAAAAATATGGGAAGGTACCTGCAGTGTTGTCAGTGGAAAATGGATCATGATCTTATAATGCTGAATTATAATTGCTTTCAACAAAGCAATTGTCAAAAYGTTTAATGCATATGACTATATATACATACAGTATATAATAGTATATACATGTAATAGTAATTATAGTTACTCTGTGTATTATATACTTTTGAGAGGTTTGGCATAGGAACAGGAGGTWTCTTACAAGACATCATTAGAATCATYATTAAAATTACAATGCAAAACCAGTCACAGTTAAATGAACTCTTTCTTTCTTTATTTTTTTAGTGCATGGTACCCATACTGTACCAACTGTGTGTTCCTCCTTTCTCAGTTTGTCTCTAAGCTTCTGGTTRTACAGATGAAGATCTGCTATCTGCTCTCCAAGCTTTGAAGAATATCTGCAAGATTCAAAAAATAATAATAATTWAAAAAGACAAGAGAATGAAACATTACAGGGAAAAAAGAAAATCCTAATTCAATAGAAAATCTAATTCAATATGAACAAGCATGTGGTTCTACATTTGTCAGGAATACTCAGCTGCACAAATACATAATAGGCAGAAAACGGCCAGACAGCAACTCTGTTGGAATGTTGAAAGGATTTATAAATCTGTTATAAACCTGTTACAAACTCTTTCARCTGGGTTGCTGTCTGGCCATAACAGACAGAACACGAGTCAATAACATGCTCTTGCATAAACTGCAAACACAACACAGGGTTGTAAAACAGAGGCATGATGTGCAAGCCAGCAAGTGATCCTGCTGGTCAGCTCCACACTAACAGGCGAAGAACAAAACCTGGTAGCTAGTTTCAAACCTTGCACTTTCAAGATCAGTTGGACAGAAATAAGACCAAGGCTACAAAAGAAGCCATAAGCAAAACAAAATGAAAAGCAAACAGTTAACTGAGGCTGCTTAACCTTAATAATAAGAAGGAACTAAAGAGATGGTTTCTGTGCATAGGTACTTATGAGTATAACCATAACTAATGGCTGCTACAAGAAAGGGAATGGTGGTTTGTGCACATCAAGAATGGGTAGAAAAGAAATCACAAGCTTAAGACTGCAACAAGGGTGGTTCAGGTTAGMCCTTAAAATCTTTCCTAACCTTAGGAGTCATAAACAACTGCCAGACTGCTAGGGAAGGCTCTGGAATCCCCATTTTTCTCCCAGTAAGCTGGCAAACAACTGTGAGAGGTCACACATGCACCACTACATTCCCTCGGAGCCGGGGAACGAAGGTGACGACTCTGAAAGCCTAATTCCGCTCTCAGCTTAGCCAAGCAAACAAGGCTTACACAGTCGTATCATCTGTTTCTTCTCCGCCCTAGTGCCTTGGAGCTTGTTGACTGGCTTTGACTGTGTCTGAGACAGGGGCAGAGCTCTCAAAGACACACGGAGCCTCTACATTTATGGAAAACTGAAAGGGGGAAGACACCGCGCTCAGCCTCAGAGCGGCCACGAGAGCCCTGCACACGAACCTGCTGAGATGCTTCATCTTCAGGTACTCCATGACAAACATCGCTCCTCCGCCGGGAAGGTCGATCACCTTAATCGGCTGGGGCACCCTCACCGTGCCGGTTTTCTGAATAGCTTCCAAACTTGCCATTTCCCCTTCAAACATCTTTCTAGCCTGTCAAGGAATAAGATTGTCCTTGGGCTAAACTATGCAATAGATAGTTAGAAAAACAGCCTTGTTTTCCAAGGTAAACTCCTCCTGAGAGCAGAGTGCAGCTGTAGCCAGGTTTTGGTCCATGCAGGGAGGCTTCCTCCATGCAGGTCAATGGCCACCAGATGGAGTTGAGAGAACAAACATTAAACCCGTACTCTGTACTCTCAAAGGCAAAGCTGTTCTTCACAGCAGTTTGGAGATGTTTGAGATATAGATAAGCAAATTTCTGATGCACTGGGTTACAAAGAAAATGATTTAGTACTGCATTTATTTGGTCAGAGAAAAGTCAAGGCTCAGCCTGAGAAGCTATGATAATCTTACTGCTAGAAATGCAGAAAGCAAAGGAGAAGCTTGAAAATCTGTAATTTTCCATGAAATGCTTCTTTTTTAGCACTGGCACTTTGTTTTCTCCCTCCTTCTCTCTTTGCCTCCTATTCTTCTATCCTCCCAGCTGAAATACGAAAAGCAATACAGTGAATGCACATTCAGCCTTAAGCTGTTCCAGATTGCAAGTATTATAAGAAGAACTGGTCGCTCGGCCTTTTTTCCCTCATAATGCCAGTTCCTGTCATTGAGGGCTGTCACGCTGCATTATAGCACATGCAGCATTAACTAAACTCACTGCACTAGTACTTGATGTAAAATATACTACAGCTTCCGACAGAAAATTGGAAGAGAAGCTCAAATAACTCAAAGCTTAAAAATGCACAATTCTCCATCATTTACAAGCAACTAACTTTGAAAAATGTATTTCGCTCTCTACATGCAAGCATATTAGTCAGTAAATATCTGCTAGCATCACCTGAGACTTCTGGTTGATCTTAACAAATACTCGTCCGTTGTCCGTTTCATAGCCCTGTCCTTGGCTGATGCATCCTCCCCCCGAGCTTCCAAACGCCTTCAGAACAGAGGTTTTTAGTTCTGTTTTCAGTATCTTTTCCATGGTGATTTGCTGGCTGGTGCTGCTGCTCCCTGCTAAATCCACTGCAAAACAAGATTAAAGGTCTGGGTCCTTCTCTCACTGTCACACTGCTATGAGGTAGAAAGGGCCACCCACCAAATCGAAAAATAGCAGCTAAAACAAAACCAAATCTAGAGGCCACGTTGAAAAAAAATGCTGTAGTTTTCCAAGGCCTTTTATAGCTTCAGATGAAAAATAAAAATCTTTAGAAACATTTGACAGAACAAAACAGAGAGGCGTGTTCTGGGGTCCTTCCCARCTGTCCTGAGAGCTGCTGGTATTTGTAGTTTGGACCTGGTTTTCTATTTTAAGCTCTGTTTTCACATTGGCAGGAGAGGCATTATTTGAGCAAAGCCGCTAGAGGGAGGCTGAAGGCAACCACAGCACGGGTGCACGGGTGTTGCACTGCGGTCACTGCCGGGCGTGCAAATCCCGCGCTGCAGCCCGCGGGTTCCCTCACGCTGCCCACCCTGGGTCAGGCAGCACTGCAGGGCCCTGCTCTTCCTTCTGGCCCTGCTCTTCCTTCTGGCCCTGCTCAGGGCTGTTTTGGGACAACTACAGACCCGCTGTCAGCAACGACGGTTTTTAGAAGTCTTTCAGCCTCAGGATTTCCTAGAAGCCCTTGAGCAGATCAGCGAGCAAGGTTTGTCTTGCCCGAGAGTGCCCTYGAGTCAGCGAGACAGCAAGGCGTGCACAGCTGGGCATTACCACCAGAAAACTCATGGCAGATCAATCAAGGTGGTAACTGGATTGGAATCAATTCCTGTGCGCTTCTCCTAGGCTTCTCTTGGTTTAACAGGCAACCTGTAGGAAGTCTGTTCATGTTTTCTCTCTCATTCAGAAAAAACYTGCCTTGGATGCTGCTGCATTTGACCACTTCATACTTGCAAAACGTGCCGACATTCTCAGATATATATGTGTCCCCACAACCCCGATGCTACAAGTTTTATCTAAGCAGTGTTTGTATAAGGGTAACATGCAGGGTTCCCTAAACAGGGCTGCGTGCTGGCGCGTCACCAGCAGTGCACAAGGTCCCAGTGCCGCTCGCTGCGGCGGCAGGACCCTCAGCGGGCGCGTCTCGCCACGCTCCGCGCCGTCGCTTTGCCAGGGTCTCGTGCCTGCCCCTCTCCTTCCAATTCTGCTGACTTGCACTGCCCCAAACAGGCGGCGTGCAGGAATCCAAGAAAGGAAGGATTACAGACGCTGCCTTCACTTAAGTTAGCTTCTCACTACATTCCCTACCATGTAGGTTCCTGTCCTACACGGAGTGGAATGAATTGGTATAGTTCAAGTGACTTCTCAAATGAGTAATTTCCTAAAACACAGACAGCTCTTAGAGGACCCCGAGGAACTGGAACACRGCTGAGCTGGAAGGGACGAGCTCCCCTAAGGAGGAGCCTTTCTAACATCCAGATATATTTGGGCAGGACCCTGCTTACCAAGGGGAGCACAGGCTCGACAAGGGCAGTTGAGCAGCCGTGACCTGGGCCCTCCCATGCGCTGGTTCAAACTCTGAGGGCTACACAGGGCTATAGAAGAAGCCACATTTCAGGTTCTTTATCTTGGCTGATACACATCAAGTAACCTGGGACTGTTTTTGCAGTCCTTCTGTGAAGACCAGCTGTAATTACCACGGCAATTCCGTGAYGCTGGCGTGCTGGGGGTCAAACGCATCATTCACAGAGCAGCCCCAGAAGGCGGCATTAGGGAAAGGCAGAGATGGAAGAGGCACCACTTACGACAGGAGCCGCAGCAGCTAGTCCAGGCCTCGGAGCAGAGCATCCATGCGCAGGAAGCAGCCTGCAAGGGGACCCACGGACTGTGGGCAGCTCGACACCYCTGGGCTCAGCAGCACAAACCAGCACAGCGCCGACAGGCCGGCGCCGCGGGGCCGTCCACTCCCGAGCCCGATCCGTGGGCTGCAGGGCGCCCAGCAGTAGAGGAGCCCCCTGCTCCAGGAGGGGCTGCAGCTGCCCACGGAGGGACCTGCGGACACAGCGGGACAGCGCGGCGGGCACAGCGACGGTGCCCTGCGACAGGCGGGAGAGCTAACAGCCCCTCGTCCTGCCTGGCAAAATGGCCGTAACCCTTCTGTTCACCCGGGAGGATAACGACACCAGGAGATCAGACCTCCAGCCACAGTTTTACTACTGAGCTGGACATCTCTGCCCTGCAAACCACAGGCTCCCCTGCTAGCATTTCCAGAGAGGGTCCCGCCAGTTTCCAGCTCCGACATTCTGAGCACCCCGGCACTTGGGGTTTGCTTAAATCAGAAACAGGACAGAGTTATTTAACTCAAGCATATTGTGTCATGTGTCACTTACAGATTAGCCAAGAGACAGCCAAAGGCTTCATTTTGATTTTACTTTGGATCAATACTGAACTAGGTAACTACAGGTGAAAAGCCTAATTTCCTAACAACATTTTACTTCTTGTTCTTCCAGTGAAACACCTTCAAATACCTTGTTTTCACACACTGGAAATGCGGTTAAAGTCTCCCAAAGGGGCTTTAAGTAACAGAGACACTTATCCAAAAAAAAAAAAAAAAAAAAAAAAAGCTCATGAGCAGATATACAAATCTCACAAATGCAGTCAATTCAGATCACAGATAAAAACATCAATTGCTTTGTAATTAAATGTGAGAAGATGGTAATGACTTTTAAAGGACTCCTTATGTGAGTATTGTTGGGCTCCTGCATAGGGATCCAGCTTCACAGCTGGGCTTGCGGTGAAATTTTAGCGGCTTAGCTCCCTGGCTCCTTTTTCTTGTTTCGGTCACAACAGCTTCTATCATATTGTTTGAATATTATCTTTAAAGGAAAAAAGAAAAAAGAAAAAAAAAAGAAAAAGAAAGGAATTCTCCCTCTGTTGTGGTTTTATTACCAGAATTTTTCTTTCTGTAGCAGGCGAACAGCAGTTAAATGCACCAGATCTGTCCTGGAAAAACAGCGAAGATGACAAGCAGGAAGAAAACAACACCAGTCATTAACATTCAGATCTTCAGGCAGTTACTGCGCTCGCAACAAGGGTAACAGTCTACAGGAATTAAAACAACCACCACCACCACAGACACACAGGGTAAAATATAAAGCAAAAGTACATGTTTTAGCAGAATTTTGGACTCCATGAAGGAATGACATTTCTATTTTGAGGGGACTTAAGTATTAAAAACGTACACAGCACTGACTTAACTGTACTTCTGTTTTCACCAGGCATATGAAGCTTAAATATGGTTTTGTATATGAAGTATGAGCTTAACACTTTTAAAATTCCATCTTCAGACAGAAATGGAAAGCAACCCTAGGAATACTACGGAACTATCTATACCATAGGACTTTCATTTTTGCTTTCACTTCCCACAGATGTTTGGCCAAGCTATTTTATATATACAATTCTATGCATGTTTGGCTTTTCCTTCTTAGTTGTCTGTRTGTCCCTGTGGTCTCACCTCTTTGAGCACAAGGCATGCTCAGAGCACAGAGCACAACAGGGGTTAACGAGACGAACACGAGCGGTGCAGGATGAGGTGTCGGGGAAGGACGTTACCTTGCAGAACTGCGGCGCTTTCCTCGCAGGAGTGGAGTCCACAGGCGCCTGCCCGGAGAAGAGACGATTTCACCCTCATCTCACCGTCCGCTTCGACCACTGTTTACGAGCACCCAGGCCCAGCGGATCTGCGGCACAGCTCAGCTGGCTCTTACATCCCATTTGTATTCTTCTGTACTCCCCTTGTGCTTTCAATTGTGGCCAATGTGCCTTAAGACAATGAGCCTAATATTCCTGAAATTGAAGATCCAAACGCAGCTGCTTCCATTTTTATAACCTCCCTACAACATAATCATAATTTTTTTTTGATTCTGATCTGTTGGGAAAAGGTGAGCTCTAAGACTTACCATTTAACAAAGAACATCCACCTTCATTTCACTTTTCACCTTATGATAATAAGAGGTATTTTAGTAAACTAAAGATTTTGACTTCCCAAAGATTTGTAAACAAAATATTCTTATTAAATAGCTTCTAACTTCAATATGAGGGCGTATGAAAAGTTGAGGAGCCTTCCTCAATGAACTGCTGACTGCGGCATTTCTTCAGTCAATGACACTAAGCAATGTTAAACTGGGGTGACTGGCCCAGGGTATGGACAAGGACGTGACATCTCACCTACACCACTCCAAGAGCTCTCATATCAATAGGTATCACACACAAAGTTTGAGGGAACCTCAAACAATCCTGTTCCTAACAGCACCTTGTGCATTTTCTTCAGTGACAAACCGCTCCGGATGACCACCCGTGACCAAGGTTCCCACCCACACCTTTGCTAACCGTGGTCATCTAACAAACTGGGTATCTTTAACAGGCTAAGGAAAGGAGCCTTCCATAAATGAAAGGAAGCTGAAGGGTTTAGTTCAGAAAACACAGACAACAATATCCAACCGGGAACTTATTTTTTTATTATTTAAGCAACAAGGAAAAGCTGTTCTCTGGAGCAAAGCTTTAAAACATTTTGTAGACAAAGTTAAACAGTCAGTGAAAAGACTAGTAGAATTAAGGGTAGAAAATCTTATCAAGTGATAGTCTTCTCTAGAAAAACTATAAATTCTTCTAAATAACTGCAAAATCAGCAACARTAACAAAAAATTCTCAGTAATATGCCAATAWTGTGTGAAAAAAAMMCTTTTCTTTTTCATTAAAGCCATTCTCAAACAGATTAAATTCATGTTAGGAATCATGCATCTCTCACCTACCTTTCACACCGGCACTGAAATATCATTAATAATTTAAAACAGAAACAGTTGAGTTACAGTTTGAGTATTCTTGTCTTGCAAGTACAAGAAACAGTCTGCAACTTTGTGCTCAAAATCTTTACAGTGTTTCTGTAACAGTGCTGGACAGCAGCTGTTCTCTCTTTTGGCTTCATAGGGATGATTTTTTTTTTTAGCTCCCAAGAGCTAGAAAGTGCATTTTGTGGGGATCTAAGAAAAGTAACTCAACTTATAGAGCCTGTATTCTAAAACACAGAAATGTTACRGCAAGTCCACACCATGATCTGATGGCATTATCCTGCAGGCAGGGAAGTCAGTGAGAAAGTGCAGCTTTTATTCACATTAGTGAGTAGATCTTCACAGCACACATGCATGTAGCCTCTTACCTGAACGTCTGCTTTGAAACTGCACCCTACTGAACATAAACATAATCCAGAAAACGGAGCTAGTGCTGGTGCAAACAAAACCGGGCTGGATGGCAGCCAGTTGATGAGCACATGTAGAAGAGCCTGCCAGAATGGCACCAAATACACGTGGCCACAACAATTCACAGGCATTTCTGCACTGCTCTGGAACAGCAAGCAGTCTCCATTTCATAAAACTGCATTACCAAAATGAACAGAAAGTCCAAATCACCTTTTACAGGTGCCCTTACCAAATGTTTGCTGACTTTCAAAATACTTTGATTATGTTGTTTTCATGTGCAAAGCTGCAAATAAAGACAGAAACTATGAGCAACTTTTTAGACATCTGCTCAATAACTGAGAAAAACAATGTTCCATGTCACAAGCACTTCTCCATTGATGTCTTCCAGCAGGGCATGAATGCAAATCCTTAGCTAATACTTCTCTACTCTGAAGCATATTTGGTCCCAACAGAGAGATCTTCATCCGAATTATCTACCTGTGACTTGATCTGAATCAACTTGCCTAATCTCAAGTCTGCAACTCCTTCTTGACACAAATGGGTGTTTCGTGTAACTGAATAAACCCCTTCCTTGGATATTTCCCTCCTAAAAATTACTCCCAACTAYCCTAAAAAGGGATTCATATGCCATGCTTGATATTTAGCAGGACTTAATAATTCTAGATCTTTAGCTGTGCAACAAGGTCAAGGGTCTAGCAGCTATTTTAACATCACACACCTGTAATTGCATCACCAAGCACAGGGTTTTCCAAGCAACACGGGAGGTATTCTGCTTCAGCAGAAAGTCATTTTACCAGGTTTCTCATAATATTTAGGGATGATCCCCTATAGCCTGTTCCAAAATGATTCCAATGATTCATGTAGTGAAAAAGCTGATAAAGCTTCAGGCGTTTTTCAAACCCTGGAGCTTTGGGAATTTTACTGTGATAAGCAGAGTAAAAGGAGCTATTAAAGCCACCAAACATCCCGGCTATTGCAAGTTCATACTCTGAATGGCCGTAGAAAGAAGCTGGATCAAAGATAATTGGACCAGAATCATCCTCAGCCACATTTCCTCCCCARAGATCCCCATGCAGGAGAGCAGGAACAATTTCGATATCAGAGAACAAGCTGGGTATCTTCACCTGTGTGTGGGAAAACAAGACATACCAGGAACACATTTTAAGGTGAGTGATTACAGTGTTTTATCCATGCACATGTAAAGGTTACAGAGCATTAACTGAAACTTCTTAAGAGTCAGTTAAAATAAATGCAATTTGAAACAGAACAGAATCACATCAAAGGAGATGCTAAAACATCCACTGGATTTCTGCTTCAACACAGATGCTGACAGAGGAAGGCTAGTCATCCTGTCACACATYCCCTTGCCAAGCCTGGTGTGCACAAACTATGCTGTTAGAGAATCCATCTTCTACTAAACAGCTAATAATTTCTCTCAACAGCAGTTAGTTCAGTTGCTCTTTGGCATGAAAAAAAGATGAAAATTTAAAAATGCATTCAATACTGCACTATTAATGAGCTTTAAAAAATAAAAATAATAAAATTGAAAATCTCTGATTAGTCTTGAAGGGATTCCTATGAAGTAATAACCAAACAGTTAACACGGCAGTCACTTTGGTGCACACATTACATGAGCAGATGATGTGAAGGACAGTATTCCTAATAAGTATTTCTCATCGTGCAAATGTTCTCAGGAATGAGAAATGTGAATTGAATACAGTATTTCCCAGGTAATAAAGCAAAATGCTATCTGGCATTCATTAATTTTGGAATTCTAGCATAGATGGTGTGCCAAAAGCTGGTATATCTTTAAGAAAAGGATGCTGTAATCCCTAAAAGATGGACTCTCTTACCAACAAAACCTGGAGCATACCAACAAAAAGAAGTTCCATTTGAGGTGCTAAACAACGGTGCTAAACTAACAGCTACTACTAGGACGAGAAGTGAGGGAAACTCTCCTACCTGAAGCTTTGCCCAAAGCTCTCTTGCCTCCCTGTCTCCTGAATTCTTTTCAATCATGTCCATCTGGGGCTGGATTCTTTGTTTGGCAAAGAAAGTCACCCAGTCATTCTGCCAGTCGTTCACCTAAAAAAGAGGATCACAGAGTAGATACTTTGTTCTCCACCACACACAAGATTTTCTTCTTTTTCAAATAAATCTTAGGAGGATAATTAAACCTTTGTGTTGACAGTATCCAGGACAGAAAATATTGCTATTTTTTAATGGAAAGGTACCTTAAAATTATATTAGGGAAAAAGTAGTTTTCTCAGTAATAAAAACAGGTAGATATCCAACACAACTGTAAGCACTATCTTTAGYGGGCTGAATAAAGTTTCTGTAGCTGTAATTCCATACAAATACATAAATTTGCATTACAAAATACTTTGGCCCATTGTGCCACTCAAAGCAAATGAAACAAAAAACCACTACAATCCTAAAATTTTATCAGTCCGATGAAGCTCAACCTACCTGTGGAAGGTAGCCACAGCAGGTAACTGTATGAAAACCAAACTGATCCACAAACTGGACTTCTACTTGCCCTTGACCTTTACCTTTCAAATCAAAGACAAAAATCCAATACTAATGAAAAGATTCTACACATCTACAATGCAACTGGACCTTAAAAAACTATGGAAGGGATTTATTACTATTATTTATTTAATTATTATTTATTTAATTATTATTAAAAATCTTCACCTCAATGCTCTGTTTATTACAATACTTGTTGCTTGTTTTGTGATTTAAAAGCTTGATGGAATGTTACATTATAATTTTCACCACATTTTGAGGTAGTCTGTATCTCCTCTGTTACCAGATCCGTGCAGAAATATTAGCTCAGAATCCCAAGGGCCCCAAACTAAACATTTTACATACAGGGATCCAAATCCAGCAAACAAAAACAAAAAGACAACCCCCTGCCTAGGTTTTTCTTCTAAATCTATTTTCACGAAATCTCTACTGGAAGAAGACCAGCTTATCCTGAAATAACAAAAGCTATTTGAACTGACTGCTTTGCAGGTTATTCTTAACTAGTTAAATCTGCAAACAGCTCTGTACTGTACCAACTGTGCTCTCCTCTTTCTTCAGCTTCTCTCCAAGCTGCTGGTTATGAAGGTGGAGATCAGCCAGCTGTGATCCAAGCTTTGCTGCATGTCTAAGAAACAAAAGTATCCTTAGCAATGCTGGTACAGGAACGAATCCAGTTCTTCATACACAAGGAATTACTCAGCCACATATATCAAGCACATGAAAGAATTCCGCATGAAAAGAATTTTCAAGATTTTAGGCTTAGAGACACCTCTTCTTTCTGTACAAATTGTTATTGGCAGAGAACACAATGCACTTACATGRTCATTTCTGAGAATCCTAATTCAAAATGAAAGTGTGAACAGCAATCCTAAATTCAACAGCAATGAGAGACACTAGGAAATTCCTGTGTGATATTCATTCTACATGAGCTTTCAGAAAAATGGCTGTAAGAAAACTACGTGCAGCACCAAATGCATTTGTCTTGACCAACTGACTTGGTTAAACAGAGCCAAACAGGATTCGTCTTTCCCTCTGTCTCCCTCTCCTCCCACCTCCTCTCCAGTGAAACTTCCATTAACCTCTTCCTGTGATCTCAGTTTCTGACTTTTTAGTCTTCCCTCTCTAAAAGGCAAGTGTCTAGAAGATGAAAGAGCAGATGGAAGAGAAAATGCACTTGCATTTATTCTCTGCCAAAATAAAACAACAAAAATCCTGCTGTTTCTTCAGCATCCTCCTTTCTCCAGAGAGGGGTGAAAATTACACTTTGCATTTTAAGAGCTTCTTATGAACTCACTTCTTGTCTTTGACATCACATTCAGCTCTTCCCTTAGTCACTTGTCCAGACAGCCCTCATTTATTCATCTCTTCACTATAAGAGCTTACCYTCTACACAGCTAAGTCTTGCAGCAATTACCAGCAACTCATTTAGCCAGCAGCTTCCCATATACAACTTTTTTTGGTTCTGACCTCTCACATCTCTCTCTGCCCTAAAGATAGTCTCACTTAAGGCATTTTTTGCTTTGTTTCTGTTAACACAGACTATAGCCATCCCCTGCAATGCCAAGGGTTGCCTTTGCACACATTTCCTTTCAATCAGCATAAATACAACAGGACTTGCGCTCGTTCTCCTGGAATTCACTGCGCACTCATAGACTCTGCAAATGGGCAAGRTGAGGAATGAATCTTTAAAGCAACTCAGGAAGTCTAGAGATTGGGGTGAAGAATATGACCACCTCCCTAATGGAGCTGGAGAAAACAGACCAAAGGTTTAAATTACTAAAATCAGCATCAGATTAGTAAAAATTTCAAAATCTGGATGCATTCACTTTGACAAGTACCTGTCAAGTACTTGGACAAGTACCATGTTTATCCCAAGAAAYATTAAAAAATTATTCTTGTACTAAACAAAAACACGCAAAGTACGTGATTAAGAGGGTCATTTTCCAGTTCCAATTCTCAAGAAYCTTACTGTGAAAATCAGTAATTATTTAAAAAGAAAAACAAAACAAAAAAACACTGCTCAATGTAAGACTGATGTTTAGGTGAAGCACCAGAATGTATTTTGTACAATTCTCTGCTGCGTAACTTGCCAAATCTATCCGACTTGCTTAAAACAAAAAGAACACATTAAAATTGATTTCCACTTCAAAAAGAAGTGATTTTAAACGCCCTCACAGTCAAACCTTACTGAAGTCAGCAACAYGTTTTACCTGCTTAAGCTTCTCATTTCCAGATGCTCCATCACAAGCAGAGTGGTGCCTCCAGAGAGGTCTATAACTTTTATGGGTTTTGGCACTTTTACTGTCTGTGTTTTCAGGATGGCTTCCAAACTTGCCATTTCTCCCTCAAACATTCTTCTAGCCTGCCAAATACCAAAGGAAAGCATCAGTCGCTATGATCAGTAGCYACAGTTAAACAAAGCTATTTTACAAAACCAATCAAAGCCATAAATATTAAACAAAAACGCAGGGGCAAGTATGAGCTGTAGGTAGATCCACAGCTCCAGACTAGACGGGCACTTCTGAATTACAGGAGTCTCTTAACAAGTCTGCTACACTGAAATGACTTAGTTTCTAACACTCCCTCTAACCACAAGAATAATTCCAAGAGCTTGTTTCCAATAGAAWGTTGGCACTGCCTGTCCTTAGCAGGAGGCAAGAATTTTGTAAATGACCAGAAGTTAAGTGCAATGATATATATTCATCTAATAGAACCATGCTGGTCTTTCTGTGCTTCACATATCTCTTCACACAGCCTGCTGAGAAACACAGCAAAAATAACYGTTCCCAACTTCAAGAGAGTTCAATCTGCAGGCCCAGACTGATATTCTTTGGTCTACCTCTTTTGCCTTGTAAGAGAAATAGGATATTAATGACAGTAGTCAAATATCCCTTACTGCCCTCCCACATGGAAGCAYGTAGAACCCACAGCATTCCCTTTGAGCACATACTGAATTTAGGATCTATTTTGGCAAGTGTTGCTCACGTYGAATAAAATGTGTTCTTCATGGAGTCACTCCATGAATCTCAGTGGCAGGAGGCATGTGAAGAAGGGCTACTCAGGAAGACTGAGACAGAAACGGCAGAAAGRGGCATGTGTCTGAAACCTGCAATACCCACTAAAAGCAAAAGAAAGGAAATAAAAACAACCTAAGTAGGAATAACTACTACTACTACTCTAGTACTAATATGGGCAAAGAACTATTTGCAAGAGATATTGATTAAAAACTCCACGGTCTACAAGAGAACAAAAACAAATAGTTGCCGGATAACTGAGATGTGCAAAACCTTTGTTCAGAGGAAAGCAGTTCTGTACTGGCAGCTAGAGCACCACACTAGGCTAAAGGCAGCTGTGGACTGTCACATAGTAAAGAAGAGTGTTTTCTAAAGAAAGTGCTGACTTACGTCCAGTGCTGCACACACAGCACGGATGTRCAATACATCCGTATTACAACATGGTTTGGCCAGGTTTGCTCTGGTCAGCAGTCACATTCCACAGGCACAGCACCGAGGATGAAATGCCTGCTGAATAGAAGAGCTGCCCCGATTTTAAGTTCTACTTTGTACCTAACTAGACTGTATCCAAAATACACRTTTTAAAAAGGCATAAATTGTCACATTGCTACCAATTTGAACTATTTTCAGGCTAATGGGAAGCAGAATAAYCTTTGGGGTTTCTCCTGTGTTTTCACCTCAGTGCACCTGATTTTTCACCCAGCTYCCCGATATGACCAGCAAGGAGGCACAAATCTGGAACAGACACAGGTGCCCCTCTGCCTTCACAAGGCTCCTGTGCTACCAAAGGTCCCCACCAGCTCTGCCTTGCATCCTTCCAGAGCCACCCTTCCCCTGACAGGGACAAGCGGCTTCCAAGTGAACGCTGCCTGACGCTATCCAGCTATTTGGTGCTTTAATTTTCTCTGTTAGGTGCTGTTACCTCCCTTCTGCAGCAGCTACTACCCTGCACTGAAAGAACAAGGCAGTACATCTTAAAAGGTAATTAAGGAAAACACCATTTATTGAGAAAAAGCTACCGAAATAAAATAAAATAAAATAAAATAAAATAAAATAAAATAAAATAAAATAAAATAAAAATAGCACTGTGCAGGACCCCCCCAGTCCTGTTACCACGCGAGCAGATGCTGCTCGGGTACAGGGTACTCACACACGCGGGCGCCCCCTCGGCCTCCTCCCGCCCGCAGCGACACCGCCACGACGGCGGGCGCCGCGGCAGGGCCCGGCCCGGCC